GTTGTTTGGCGGGTCCGGGTTGGGGATTCGAACCTGCCACCTTAGGTGTACGTGGCTGGCGCCTTAGCCAGTTGAGCTATAGGCGCCGAGCCTCACATGAGATTTTTAAAAGTGAGGCTGAATTTATTTGCTTTTAAAATTTAGTAGTCTAAACTTTATTATTGCTATTCTTTTTCTATAAGATTCATTTTAAGCATACTTTTCTTTATTATTTATTTAAATCACACATTTATCACAATTTTAGAAATCAACAGATCCAATACTACCTTTCATAATATAACTAGCTCCCTAAAGTGAATAAATTATTTTTCAAAGCTCATAAATTAGCTAAAGGTTGGTGGAAGCATAGTATGATAAAAAGGAAATAGTTTGTAGAGCTAGATAGAAGTAGGCTGTTACCTGGCTTCTTCCCTAACTCAGTTCCTTTTTATTTTTAAAACAGTTTTTTAATAGGCAATATACAGACATAATAGAAAATTCAAAAGTTTATAATGTGAAAAGTAAGACTTTTCTCCTATCTTTGTCCTACCCCACCTCTGGCAAGCACTGTTATAGTCTCTTAAGTACTCTTCTAGAAATAGTCTACTCAACTGCACTGAAGACTTGATCCTTCAGACTTCAAGACTTATGACTACCACCAATATTTTTTAAACCATAAACCATACCAGAAGGACTAGAATCAGGAAAGTCAAGTAAAAGTGAGACTGGAGAGAAAGGAATAGCTATGAGATACTCTTCCCAATAATACTGGCATTTAGCATGGCAAACACATTAAGATTAAAAAACAAAACTTTAGAATCAAGTAATATCTCATAATAGGCATGACTGAGGTTTTATAAAGGTATGTACAAGCACCTACTCTGTTATTAATTCTACTTATCTAGAATTCTCTTCAGTTTTACCTGACTATATTATGGTGAGGATGCATAGGAGAATGAGGTAGCAGTGGTGGTCAATATCTCCTGGATATTTAATGAAGAAAAGCTAATTGTGTACCATTCCTTATTACTACAAGTGTCACCTTAACAATTTCAGTGTGAGAAATGTTACAAAGAATTGTAACTGGGAAAAAAGCATTGAGATTAGTAACATATCATCAAGACAGAAAGAGAAAGAAAAAAGAGAATGATAAAATTAAAATGACAGTAAGAGAAATACACACGTACATGCAGTTAAAGTACCCGTCATGAACCATCAATAAAGTAAAAAATCTTTTCTCTCTTGAATTTTATCCAGTAAGTATCTGACTTAAAGGAGGAACTTAAGAGGTTAGGAACTTCAGGGTAGCCATGAAAAAAAATCTCTTGGCATAAGTAACATTAAAGATGGGAAGAATTAAGTCAGCACACAATTCAACAAAGACCAGTACATTTGTAGGAATAAAAAATACATTCCATTTTAAAGTGCAAATAGAAATTTTTTTAGATTTCATTTTTGGATTCTCTGAGAAACATTCTTTTCTAAATTCTTACAGCCATAGTAAAACTATTGCAACATTTAAATATTTAAGTCCTAGAAAGTGAGTAATACCTCTAATGAAAATGGAACATAACCTTGGTACTTTTCACAAGTATCAAAGAATTATATGAATTACATATTCATTTGACCAATTTCTTAAACTGAGTATACGGAAAATAAGTTATAATTAAACTGCATTTACAAATATAGAACTTGTCTTAAGCATTAGAATTCTTCAACATGTAGTTTATTAGATACTGAATTATTCAATTATAGAAGACGACAGGAACATAGCTCTAAAATTATAAGGAAAACCAAAAATGTATTATTCCACATTCAAAAGCTTGTTTAAATACAATTCATCTTTGATATATTAAATAGATAAGATCCTGTTGTGCTGTATTTTTTATTGTTCTTTGAATCAGGAAAGAAGAAAAGAATTATTTTTTCTTCTGCTAACAGCTATCGGTAATCTCTTAGGAATAAGGTGTACCACTTGTACTTGCCTTCTCATTTGCTTAAAACTAATCCCCAAATGAACCAACATAAATTGGAGTCCGTCTCAAAGTAGAGTCTTCCACTTTCAAGTGGAAATTAATATTCAACTTGAAATTAATATTCAACTATATATGTGGCATTTGAATTTTAATCTGTGAAATGGTAAGAGTGGCTTAAAAATAAAAAAAATTTATAACATCTGTGTTAACAACAAATCAATTCAGGGTTTGCATGTGTTGTAAAGACTAAATTATTGTCATACAGTTGTTTAAATGTGTATTTTTTTTCAAAGATACAGATTCCACTTTCCTAACCTGGCAAGCTGTTCAAAACCAAAAAAAAAAAGTCAGAAACCATATTTATATTTGAAAGGAAAATCAAGAGCCATATGCCATTAAAAAAACCCAATGGAATTACAAATAAAAATACATACATGATGGAAGAATAATGAAACCGAAATTATTATCTAATAAAGAAATGAAAAAGTTATAACATTTTATTATCTTCCTCAGTGAGGAACTAAAATTAGAGGATATTTTATAATACTATCATCTCCCATTCTAAAATCTGTAAGCCTATACTAGTCTTAAAAAAATAAAAAAAAAAGGCTGTAACACCAGAAAGGTTTGTAGGCTGTACTACCCTCTAATGGTGAATGGTAAGAGAAGTACATAAATCAGGTTATTCTTCCCCAGGGGTATATCTACAGATCACAGCTCGCTTCACGTTTCCATAATTTTAAAATACCTTGAGATGTGGTCTCAGGATAAGTTTTTAATAATAAAGATTAAAATACACATTTAAAGATTAAACTAAACCAATTAGCCCTAAAATTTTAAGCACAGCACCTATGTGGTAACCTTTTGGCTTATACACAGAGAGAAATATAAATTAGGATGATAAAGCCAAATGGTATCATGCTTCATGAAAATAATTGTATTTTTATTCTATTATAATGTATTTTATATCTTCATAATGCCAGAAATATGACTGAGTTCACTCAAGACAATCTATGGGTTGTTCTTTAAATGGTTATGTCTCAAAAAGACTTCTGCTAAATATTAAAGTATTATACTTAAAATTACTAGTGTTTTCTATAATAAAAGATGGTTACAATAAGACTTACCTCAGTCTTTTTACTAATGTGATCTGTAAATGAAAAAAAAAGATGAGATGAGACTTCATTTAAGTAAACTGACACATAAAAAATTTTAACATAAAAACATAATTGAAAGAATTGATAGAAATCATTTAAGGGTTTTCTAGAACTCACACATGATTTACTTTTTTAAGCTTAAGATGTTAAAATTCAAAATATAATTACTAATTTGCTCAGTTTAGAGTCCAGGTTTTAGATCCCAGCAAATGCCACACACGTCAAGGGATGTTATAAAATTTTAAGCATGTGCATTCCACATAATTTAGTCTAAGGGAGAGCAAGTCAAGGGTACACAAATAGTCCAAAATCAAGTCATAAGTTACTATAACTTCAAAAACTATTGAGATTATTGCCTTTGTGTAATGATATAAAAAGTAGAATAATAATTTATGACCTTAAAACCTGTCGGCCATTTCATTTTAAAAATACACATCACAGTGATTTGCTACTACTATGAAAAAAATCCTAAAAATTGATGTATAGTTATAGAAAATATAAAAACAAATTCATTACAAACACATCTAGATAAAACAAATCACTGACTTAAAAACAACACAGCATTTCTAGAAAAATATTACCCAAGAGCAGAATGAGGAAAGGAAGACGTAAGGAATCTACACAGGTACGAGGCTGAAATCTAAATACAAACTGTGCAAGTATTCTTATTTAAAATGGAGATAATCAGGATACCTAATACCTAACAATGCTTCTTGTGTACCATAAAAATTTTCCATTCTCAAGAGATAAAATTAATAGCATTTTTTATGACCAAGAATCTAAAAGCTGGTCCAGTTCTCTAAATTTCTTGATCAGAATAGAGTTCATGGATATAGTAAATGCCAAAATCACCAAGTTCAGATAAAGCTACCAAATCCTGATACATTACACAGTCATTCTAGCATGCTCCACTTGGCATACGATGTGATGCCAGAGCCAAAGAAAGAATAACAACTGTGTTAATCATGACTTGCAAAAGCTGAATAGCTTCCCTCTAAAGGCAGCATACTAGGTCCAAGTGAATCTTTCTAAGAGTAGAATGTGAACGTTGTAAAACAATAACTAAGAAAATGACATGAAGGCTATGTTAACTAGTTCGATGGAAGTGTTTCGAAACACAGTGAAAACCCCACACTTTACCCCAAAGTGCATTAATGTACATAGTTACCATTCAATAAAAAAAAAAAGCAACATACTGATGTGTGTTTCAATGCATCTAATAAATTTACATACTACTGCAAAAATAAAAATATGGAAAATAAATTAAGAGTATAAAAAGTATTCTTTGCATGCTTCTGCCTAGTTTTTAATGAAACATATTTCTTCATATTTTACTAAACTTGAGAATTTAATTTTAACATGGATGTGTTCTTTTAACCCCAAAGCAAAGCAAATTAATTACTGGCAACCTATAGGAAAAATTTTCTTCATCTTCAAAGAAAAGTGATGTAATCCTCTAAATCAGTGGTTCTCAACCTTCCTAATGCCGTGGCCCTTTGATACAGTTCCTGTGGGTCGCAACCCACAGGTTGAGAACTGCTGCTCTAAATTTATTACTAATTTCACAAAAAGATTTGCTTCTATTTAATAAAAACAGAATTTAAGTTTTTATGTTTACTTTTTGAAATTATTGCTAAGGTATTATTTATCCTTAAACAATGCCCAATGTACTAAGGCTAAATTCACATGAAAGAAATAAATTGCTTTGTCAGTTAACGAATAGCTGCTCATATGGCCAGCAACTACTCTGACTGGAGTAGTCGCAGTATTGTTCAATATAATGTTCTGGGATAACAGTAACGTTCTATTGCTGAGTGAATATGGAAGTTAAACTACTAGTAACATGTGGCTACTGAGCACCTGAAATAAAAGAACTACGGTTTAAACTTTAATTAACTTATCTTTAAATTGCTGCATATGAATAGTGTTACCATACCACACAGCATGGGGCTAAGAGTTTTCACCATCCATATTAAAATAATGTCCTTTGTGGTCTATCTTCAAAATCTAGACCAGGCATCCTCAAACTACGGCCTGCGGGCCACATGCAGCCTGCGTAAGACATTTATCCGGCCTCCCGGGTGGCTGGCTGCCTGTCCTGCTTAGCAGCCGACTTGTCCCAGGGCCCGCAGTCTGGCCCTCCAACAGTCTGAGGGACAGTGAACTCGCCCCCTATTTAAAAAGTTTGAGGACCCCTGGTCTAGACTCTAGGCAACTATAGGAAAAATTTTCTTCATCCTCAAAGAAAAGTGACATAATACTCTAAATCAGTGGTTCTCAACCTTCCTAATGCTGTGACCCTTTAATACAGTTCCTCACAGTGTGGTGACCCCCAACCATAAAATTATTTTCATTGCTGCTTCATAACTGTAATTTTGTTACTGTTATAAATCGTAATGTAAATATCTGATATGCAGGATGTATTTAGGCAACTCCTGTGAAAGGGTTGTTCGATCCCCAAAGGGGTTGTGATCCACAGGTTGAGAACTGCTGGTCTAGAGATGATAAAATTCCTTCTGGGTTCTCTGTTGGATAATAAATACAAATGAGGCTGGTCACAGGGGCTCATTCCTGTAATCTCAGCACTTTGGGAGGCAGAAGACAGAGGGTCAACTGAAGCCAGCAGTTTGAGACCAGCCTGGGCAATACAGCTGAGACCTTGTCTCTACAAAAATTTAAAAGGCGTGGCTACACACCTGTACTCCTAAGTACTCTGGCTGCTGAGGCAGGAGGATCACTCGAGCCCAGGAGATGGAAGCTGATGTGAGCTATGACTGCACCACACTGCTCTAGCCTGAGAAACAGAGTAAGATTCTGACCCTCTTAAAAAACATTTTTTAAAATATAAATGATATTACAAAACTGTTTTCTGGCAATGAGTCTCACTCTAAAATTTTTATTTTTATTTTCTAAGATGCAATTCCAGATAACATGAAAGGGTGACCAATAATGGCTGAAATCTAATGATACTATTCGTGAACTACTTTAAGCCAAATCATGTGTAAGAACAATAGTATGTTTAAAGATGATTCAGAAACTATAAATGTCAATTTTTATTTTTAGTAAGTCAAAAGGGACAAACTCAAATACAAGAAGATATTCTCACTGAAGTTTTATGGGGGTTTACTGAGTGATTTTAAATTACTTTAAAACCCCATGTGGTTTTAACTTATTTCCAAATAGGGTGCTACAATTTAAATGTCCCCTCTAAAACTCATATTGAAATTTAATTGCCATTTTAACAGTATTATGAAGTGGGACCTGTAAGAGGTGATTAGGCCATGAGGGCTCCACCCTCATAGGTGGGATTGGTTATAAAACGTTAAGTTCAGCCCCTCTTGTTTTCTCGCCCTCCCTGTTTCCTTTACACTTGCTGTGTGATGACATAGCAAGAAAGTCCTAACTTTCTTGATATTGATGTGGCCTTCCCAGTTTCCAGGACCATATATATGAGCCAATAAATTTGTTCCATTATAAATTATCTAATCTTAGCTGGGCATACTGGCTCATGCCTATAGTTCCAGCACTTTGGGAGGCCAAAACAGGAGGATTGCTTGAGGCTAGGAGTTCAAGACCAGCTTAGGCAAGAAAAACAACAAAAAATTTACTGGGCATTGTGGCATTCCTATACCCAGCCACATGGGAGGCAGAGGCATAAGGATTGCGTGAGCCCAGGAGTTTGAGGCTGCAGTGAACTATGATCATACCACTGTACCCCAGCCTGGGTAAAAGAGTGAGACCCTGCCTTAAAAGAAAAAATAAGAAGAGACCCCTATATTATCCAGTCTCAGGTACAAAATGAACTTCAATGGTTTTAAGTTTCTTACAGTGCACATGACATTAACAAAACAATTTTTACTTATTTAAAAAATCAGAAAAGTATTAAAACTTAAAGACTTAGAATAGTTCTTCTAGCATTATACACTGTACATAAATTACCTTCAGATTGAAAATCTTTTAGCGATACTGTGAGAGGTTTGTCTTTTCCCTGATGATTCTTTCTTTTATCTTTTTTATTCATAACTTTTGACTGAGTTGAAGCATTTTCAGCATTTTCATACTCCTAAAAAGAAATGCCAATAATAATAATTAAGTTTAGTTTACAAATTGTAAAATCAATTTACCAACAGGTAACATGTTTCTTAAAGTTCTATTTTTCAAAGATAAAGGGCAAATAAAAAATATGCCCTAGCAAAATTATATAAAAGGATAGTTTGTGTATTCAATAAGCTTGCATCTTAAATATTAAAATAAAAACAAAAATTATACCTCCTCCTTACCACCTACTTCTTTTTTTTATTGTTGGGGATTCATTGAGGATACAAGAAACCAGGTTACACTGATTGCATTTGTTAGGTAAAGTCCCTCTTACATTGTGTCTTGCCCCCAAAAGGTGTGTCACACACCAAGACCTCACTCCCTCCCTCCTTCTCTCTCTCTGCTCTTCTTTCCCCCCACTCCTTCCTCCTCCTTTCTCTCTCTGCTTTCCCTTTCCCCCTCCCCCACCACGTCATTGTCATTAATTGTCCTCACATCAAAATTGAGTACATAGGATTCATGCCTCTCCATTCTTGTGATGCTTTACTAAGAATAATGTGTTCTACTTCCATCCAGGTTAATACAAAGGCTGTAAAGTCTCTATTTTTTTAATGGCTAAATAGTATTCCATGGTGTACATATACTCTAGCTTGTTAATCCATTCCTGGGTTGGTGGGTATTTAGGCTGCTTCCACATTTTGGCGACTGTAAATTGAGCTGCGATAAAGTCTAGTGCAAGTGTCCTTATGATAAAAGGATTTTTTTCCCTCTGGGTAGATGCCCAGTAATGGGATTGAAAGATCAAATGGGAGGCCTAGCTTGAGTTCTTTGAGGTTTCTCCATACTTCCTTCCAAAAACATTGTATTAGTTTGCAGTTCCATCAGCAGTGTAAGAGTGTTCTTTTCTCTCCACATCCACGCCAGCATCTGCAGCATCTGAGATTTTGTGATGTAGGCCCTTTTCACTGGGGTTAGATGGTATCTCAGGGTGGTTTTGATGTGCATTTCTCTAATAATTAGGGATGATTAGCATTTTTTTCATGTTTCCTAGCCTTTCATCTGTCTTTTTTTTTTTTTTTTTGAGACAGAGCCTCAAGCTATTTCACTGGGTAGAGAGCCATGGCTTCACTGCTCACAGCAACCTCCAACTCCTGGGCTCAAGCGAGTCTCCTGCCTCAGCCTCCCAAGTAGCTGGGACTACAGGAACCCACCACAACACTTGGCCATTTTTTTGGTTGCAACCATCATTGTTGTTTGGCGGGCCCGAGCTGGGGATTAAAACCCGCCACCTTAGGTGTATGTGGCTGGCGCATTAGCCACTTGAGCCACAGGCACCGAGCCCATCTGTCTTCTTTAGAGAAGGTTCTATTCATGTCTCTTGCCCATTGATATATGAGATTGCTGGCTTTTTTCATGTGGATTAATTTGAGTTCTCTATAGATCCTAGTTATCAAGCTTTGGTCTGATTCAAAATATGCAAATATCCTTTCCCATTGTGTAGATTGTCTATTTGCTTTGGTTGTTGTCTCCTTAACTGTACAGAAGCTTTTCAGTTTAATTAAGTCCCATCTGTTTATTTTTGTTGTTGCAATTGCCACAGCAATCTTCTTCATGAAGTCTTTCCGCAGGCCAATATTTTCCAGTGTTTTTCCTATACTTTCTTTGAGGATTTTTAATGTTTCATGCCTTAAATTTGAGTCCTTTATCCATCTTGAATCTATTTTTGTGAGTGGAGAAAGATGTGGGTCCAGTTTCAGTCTTTTACATGTGGATATCCAGTTCCCCCAACACCATTTATTAAATAGGGAGTCTTTCCCCCAGTGTATGTTCTTGTTTGGTTTATCAAAAATTAGGAGGTTGTAAGATGTTAATTTCATTTCCGGGTTTTCTATTTGTTTCCAAATGTCTATGTCTCTATTTTTGTGCCAGTACCATGCCGTCTTGACCACTATGGCCACCCACTTCTTTTCAAGAAAACGTCAATTTCCTCTCTTACCTCCCTGAAATTTGGCTTTAACTATTCTCTGACACTAAAATTAAGGTCTACTTCCCAACTGCCAAATCCAAAAGACAGTATTTTTTTCAAGCATATCTTGGTTTTCTTAATACATTTCTGACCACTCCTTTTTTTGCTGTTTTTTTCTCAATCTTCTTAACAATATAGCTTCTGTTCACCATTATCCTATTCTTAACCTATTATTCTTATACTTCATACTCATTATTCTTCAATCTCAAAGTTTAAAGTTCTATCTACACTCTAATGATTTCTGTATGCACAGATAATTCAACTGAAATGTTCGGTAAGCATCTCCATACTCAATGTGTTATATATCTTTCCCTCCCATCACCTTGCCTTCCCTACTTAATCCTCTCAGTTGCTACTATCTACACAACTGTCTAAGCTAAAAACCTCAAAAATAATTCTTGTGAACTCTCCTAGACACTTTAAATCCACATTAATTATGATATTTTTTTGAATGTATCTCCTAAACATCTTAATTCTACTTTCTTCTCTTTTTCCATTCTGTCATTCCCCCATCTTCTTTTGCTTGAATACTGTATTCTTAACTTTAGTCCCTCAATCCATCTTCTACACTGCTTCAGCATAAGTTTCTAAAGTGGGCTCGGCGCCTGTGGCTCAAGTGGCTAAGGCACCAGCCACATACACCCAAGGTGGCGGGTTCGAAACCAGCCCGGGTCTGCCAAACAACAATGACGGCTGCAACCAAAAAATAGCCAGGCGTTGTGGTGGGCACCTGTGGTCCCAGCTACTTGGGAGGCGGAGGCAGGAGACTCGCTTGAGTCCAGGAGTTGGAGGTTGCTGTGAGCTGAGATGTCACGGCACTCTACCCAGGGGGACAGCTTGAGGCTCCTGTCTCAAAAAAAAAAAAAAAAAAAAAGTTTCTAAAGTGAAAACCAAAATCAATCTAAAAATGTTCAGGCTTGGCACCTGTGGCTCAAGCGGCTAAGGCGCCAGCCACATACACCTAAGGTGGTAGGTTCGAATCCCCAGCCTGGGCCTGCCAAACAACAATGATGGCTGCAACCAAAAAATGGCCAGGTGTTGTGGCGGGCGCCTATAGTCCCAGCTACTTGGGAGGCTGAGGCAGGAGACTCGCTTGAGCCCAGGAGTTGGAGGTTGCTGTGAGCGTGATGCCATGGCACTCTACCCAGGGGGATAGCTTGAGGCTCCGTCTCAAAAAAAAAAAAAAAAAAAATTAAAATAAATAAAAATAAAAATGTTCAATACATTTTTCCCAGCAGAGATATAAGGTTCTTTATCTCCTTAGCTTTGTACATAAGGTTCTTTATATCCTCCTATCTTCTGGCTGTATCTCCAGCAGTTCTAGGTCTCTAAATTATAGTTTTTCAAATATGCTATATTCTTTCACATGTACACATTTTATATACATGCCACTCCTTTCCTGACATTGCCTATTTTCCTCCTGTCTACCATATGAATTTCTAGTACACCTAATAAGAGTCTAATTTTTTTTTTTTGAGACAAAGTCTCACTTTGTCACCCTTGGTAGAGTTCAATGGCGTCATAGCTCACAGCAACCTCAAACTCTTGGGCCCAAGAAATCCTTTTTCTCAGTCTCCCAAGTAGCTGTGACTACAGGTGCCCGCCACAACACCTGGCTATTTTTAGAGATAAAGTCTCACTCTGGCGCAGGCTGGCCTCAAACCTGTGAGCTCAGGCAATCCACTTGCTTTGGCCTCCCAGAGTGCTAGGATTACAGGTGTGAGCCACTGTGCCCAGCAAAACTCTTCTTTAAAATTTTTTCCTAAAACACATCCCCATCAAAGGCACTGAAAAGTCCTATTTTTCTGAATTACCACTGCACTGAGAACATATATATCTCAATATGTTTATATTTCCCTCTTCTAAACACAAGGGCTAGGACCATGCCCTTATATTTGTATTGTGTGCCTAGCACATTTTGTCCAATAAATAAATATTCAATGAATAAGTAATAGAATAGAATAGAAAAATGCCATCTCAAACTTCAGTTATCTGTTATAAAGGTTCTTAGGCTAAAGTAATTATAATTGCTTTATTTGAATATGGACTTAAAACCCAATGCTTACATCAATTTTTTGGGGGGGGGGGCAGGGCTGGGTTTGAACCCACCACCTCCAACATATGGAACTGGCGCTCTACCCTTTTGAGTCACAAGTGCCACCCCTACAGCAATGTTAATCACATCAAACTAGCTACTACATAAAAAACTTCCTCCACTCTAAGAGAGTCATTATTGTCTGGTAAGACTAATATTTTGGGGTACTAGGCCTATGACTGTGTCAAGAAAACTGGCTGGGGCTGGGCATAGTGGCTCACGCCTATTAATCCTAGCACTCTGGGAGGCTGAGGTGGGTGGATCACCTGAGCTCAGGAGTTTGAGACCAGCCTAAGCAACAGCTAGACCCTGTTTCTACTAAAAATAGAAAAACTATCTGGGTGTTGTGGTAGGTGACTGTAGCCCCAGCTAATCTGGAGGGTGAGACAAGAGGATCTCTTGAGCCTAGGAGTTTGAGGTTACTGTGAGCTATGATATCATGACACTCCACCCAGGGTAACAGAATGATATTCCGTCTCAAAAAGAAAAAAGAAAGAAAGAAAACAAAACTAGCTGGGAGCATGAGATTTTATCAATGTCATTTACTCTGTTCCTCCTACAAGGATATAACTAATCCTATAGCTTTAGAATCTAGACATAGATCTAACAACATTACTCTTATATAATAACACTCTATTTGATGAATTTTATCTCCTAATTAAAGAGGACAGTAGGACCTCTTCATTATAATCTGAAATGATTAAATGATTAAATCATAGTAAGGTTAGCTGCATCCATTTTGTAATTGCTTGCTTTGTGTCTAAATGGACATGTAACAAATTATTATAGTCACTCTTGATTATCTGGGATAACAGGAATAGGGATATTTCTGTTATCCCAGATACAGAAATAAAACTAACACATACAGTGTACAAAGTCCACTTTACTGGCAACTAAATAAGTAGCAAAATCATCTGCTGTGAATTTTTGTTCCTCTCTTCCTTTCATCTTGGATGAAGGTGCTTATGTACAATGGCATGACCAAAAAGCCTTAAACATAGCAAGAGGCCATTTATGATCAACCACTGGGTAATCACAACTTGAACAGATTTTATGAACCAAAAAAGAAAGCCCCAAAATCTTAAAAACTAAAATGTTAAATGATATGAACCTAATCAACATTCAATTTAAATACAGAAAATCAAAACCAACATTACATTTTATTTAAATATTCCTACAGTCACAAGCTATTTAATGCATTTCATTTTTTTTTTTTT